GCAAAATTTGCCGACCACTTCCTTAACTTTATGTATAGCACTCAACATTTACGCATTTTGAAGTTTTCTTTTTTGAAGGGGAGGGGGCTAAAATCATGATATAATTTGTTGTTTAACGTAGTTTATAAGGTCCTTTGGCCTGAAAGAGATTTTTTAAATATCTTGTATTTTTCCCTTTAATTTTATTGCAAAGCCCATTTTGTGAAAACTCTTAATTGACTAAGAGAATGGATATCATAATTGAAATCAGCCTTCCCAATCAATATAAATATCAGTCATTACATTACTTTTTTTGCAACACCAATTTTTGAGGCCTGTGTAATTATAAATATGATATTTTTATAATGGGATAACTCTTTAAGCAATAAAACTGCATGTTATTCCATAAAGGTCATCAGTGACATTAAACACAACAGATGTTAAACGAAATTGTCTTGTGATCTGTGACTAACAGACTCGAGATTTTTATTCCTTTCTTCCTAAAACTACCAATCTAATGAAATGTACATTTTGTTTTTAAACTCTGAGTCATTTGGATTTGTTTGCTTGTGGTTTAATAGCCAATTAACCGCATAAGTCTGATAAAATAGAATTTTATCTCTCAGCGTTTCTTTGAAAAGAAAAGCAAATGAAACATTGTATGCATTATTTTTTTTATTATTAGATGTTCCAGAAGTGCGTTTCAAGTAAATAAATTTTTCTAAAATGAATGAGAAGTAACTTTAGCAAAACGTATTATTTACTATGATGTAATATTGATAAAAACAGGGCTGAAAATAAGATGGGGAAATGGAAACAATGGTAGTAAAACCATTGAATTAATAGTACGTTTTCATGATAGTTAAAATAAGTACTTACTATTATTAATTATAAGCTATTTAGTAGCCAATTAATCGTATAAGTCTGAAAAAATAGAATTTTATCTCTCTGCGTTTCTTTGAAGAAAAAAACAGCGATTTAAACATTGTATGCAGTCTTTTTTTATTATTAGATGTTTCAGAAGTGCGTTTCAAGTAAATAATTTTTTCTAAAATGAATGAGAAGTAACTTTAGCAAAACGTATTATTTACTATGATGTAATATTGATAAAAGCAGGGCTGAAAATAAGACAGGAGAGTGGAAATAATGGTAGTAAAACCATTGTATTAATAGTATGTTTTCGTCATGATTAAAATAAGTATTTATTATTCCTAGTTATAAATTAGGTATCACTCTGCTATTTCAAGGGTTAAAAAAACAATTTTACATATGTGTTATAACGGTTTAAAAAAAATATTGGTAGTAATAGATATTTTACTGTAGCTCACCTTAGGAAGTTGTAAATTTCATAAATTCAGTTTGGTCTTAAATAATATTATTTAGAACAGTTTACAGCTTTTCTATAAATATTTCTGTATTAAATTACTCAGTTACGGGTCTTAAACTTTAGGACCATATTATAAAAAAGTTGAATCAGTGACCATAGGTCTGTGAATTGATTTTGTTTCTGCTATACTTAAGACTTCTTTTAAATAAAATTTTACACTTGTCTAGTTTTAGCGAAGGCAGTTGATGATCTTGAAAGTAGAACGAAATTAAAGTTTCTTGCTACTTTAAGGTTAATTTTACTGTTATGCCATACATACACCACATCTATGTTTATTTTAAAAGTACTTCTCATTAACAAGAGTAATGAGCAGTAATTATTAACATTACTGAATATACAATTTATACAATTTGTAGATTTATAAACATTTTTATGCATTTATAAACTCATTCTCTGATTCGACCATTCACTAAAATGCCTTTCAATGATTCGTTAATAAGCGAATTTACTGCTATTTAATGCAGATTCTTTGTTAATACACCGTTCACTGATTCACTTGCAATAAAATATTTATGAAACATATACTATCTTTAAAATAACAATTACAAAATAAACAAAAAATCGCCTCGTATGAAATACAATTATAAACGAAGGGATAATTGTCATAGTAACAGGAAAAGATTAAATTATTATTAGTAATTTTTGGGGAAAATTAGATATTCTCTATCTAGACTAATATAGGTTTATAAAACTTTTTATGAAAATAAATAAAAAGTCAACCTGCAACTTAAATTACAACAGTAATAAAAGTTCAGATAAATCCGATGAAATAAGAAGTTATCAATCCTACGATTAGCAAATTTATAGAGCAAAGAAGTCTTACTTTATAATTTATCAGAAAATCTTTTGATCGCTATTTTAAATATATATATAAAAAACAATATGTAAAATATTTTAAAAATGAATCGATTTTTCTCGCTGTTAACATAAAGTTTACTAGTGAAACGTTTGGTAATTATCTAACATTTACTAATTTTCCTGGAAATTAACATTTCTGTCTTGTTTCTAAAAAGCCTCGTCAAAAATTTTACTGAAATTTCGGTGAAAACTTTATTTAAAATTACATTTTGAGACGAAATAGAAGTATTACATAAAATATTAAAGTACAGATAAGCAAATTCACATTAATTAAGACAGCATTTGACGCACAGGTTCATGTTAACAGTGCACGAGAAAAAAAAAAAGAAAAAACGGAACACTTTGAGTAATTTTTGATTTAATGATCGGAATTTAACGTACTAGGACTTAATATTAGTGGATCAAAGGAGTGACTTCAACTATGTTAATTAGTTAGTAAAGAGGATATTTTAAATTACGAAATCAGACACAAAAACGTACTATCTCTGAAGAAACATACCTTTTTTTCGATGGATTAGGATTCCTGACTCAAAAAATATGCGGGGCGGCCTTAGTCTGCAAAATCTGGTTTTAACTGTTTGGTGAGGAGAACGGTCGAAAATTTTAACCCCTTAATCTTATTTTTAATTTTTTGCATATTTCACCATACCTTGAGAACTTTTAAAGCGAATTTAAAAAAATAATTTGCATACAATTATAAAATGCATTGATACAAAAATAATTTCACGCAAAGAAAATAATTAAGTATTTATTGTTTTTTATTATTTTATTTAATAGTTTTGAATGTTGAAAAATAGTTTTGAATTTTAAGGTATACCAATTTTTATATCATTTTAAAGAATGTAATTATTATGGTAAATGTAGTATGACAAAAAAACAAAAATCAAATGAATGTAAAGAATGTAACAGGGCAAAAAACAAAGTATGAACAAAATCGGTCAAATAGTTAAAGTGAAAGGGAATTTTAAAGATCTGATTTTTTAAACTACAATTTCTTAGAAAGTTTTTCAAAAATCAAAAAAAAAAAAAAAAAAAAANAAAAAAAAAAAAAAAAAAGGCCGAATAGTGTAAAAATAATGAATGAGGGACACATCGACGCATAGCGTTAAAAAATAATTAGAAAAAACATTCCTTAACGATTAATTTTATCTTTGATTAAAAAATAATTTAAAAGTAAAACAAGAAAAGTGATCTGATTTCTTATCTAAAATTCAAAATAATGTTTCATAATTTATTTATTTTTTTTAAAAAACTGCCCATTTAGTATTTTTTATAGGGAATATTGGCGCCAAATTTAAATTAAACTCTTAGAAAACTTTTGACCATGCATGCAGAACATCTAAGAATATATAATTAACAAATTAAAACATTTAAATATATTTTTCAAGTAGACAGTATTTTAAAAAAGGAGAAAATTAATAATTTAATGAATCTGGGTCTCGTTCGACGATCCCGTAAACTGGCACTTTGGGCGTTCGCTTACCTTGGCCCTGCTCCTCCCTCCGACAAACACAAGTATTCTTCAAATTCTCATTGAATTTTTGAGAAAGCCTCAAGTTTTTATGGTAGAGTCTAATCAAATCAACTATATTTTTTACAATAAAAATTTAAGTTCAATAATTATGAAGGTTGATAAAACTAATTATTTATCATTCAAGTATGTTCTTATATCCAATACGTGCGTAGATACGTACGTTTATGTAAATAATTCTTCTCCCTTTCTACTCCATTTTCGAATTTATGTTTAAATATGTATGTTTCTTGCTGTATAACAGAAGGAAAAAGAAATAGAAATCTAAACAAAATAATAAAGTATTTTTCACTTTCAAATTACCGACAAAAATATTTCTTTATAATTTCTAAAACCAGAAAGAGGTTCCACCTCTTTCTGGTTTTCCTCTGGTTCTCTTCTCCATATCGCTCTCCAACTCCCGGAACTGCTTACGTATAGTTCTTTTCAGATCGATCAGTAAACTTTACTCGCTCCACTCATTCCATTCAGAAAAAATACGTTTTTCTTTTATTTAAGATTACATCATAAAAACTGATTTTATGATATGTATAAATGAAAACATAATTAACAAAAAATAAATAATTAAAATATCGTTAATGTTTTATTTTATTAATAATAATGTAATTTTCAAAAAATATAATTAAAAAAAATTATTAAAAGAAATTAATTAAAAAGAAATTTTTTAAAATATGGATTTATTCTTTCTTAAATCAAGGAGCTCATGTCATGACCTTGCTCAGTATCGCTCGCCAACCCCCAAAATTACATACGCAGTTTTTTTCAGCTGCTGCTGCTGTTGTTAATTTACGTCGCACTAGAGCTGCACATTGGGCTATTGGCGACGGTCTGGGAAACATCCCGGAGGATGATCCGAAGACATGCCATCACAATTTTGATCCTCTGCGGAGGNTCTATTTTAATACCTAAGATTTTATGCTTTTATATCCTTTAAACTAATTGTATTAGAGAGAGACTATAACCCCTGTTCGCTATCGCTCATCAACCTTCGAAACTGCTTGCGCAGTCCTTATTAGATCAATTCACAGACTGAGATAGCAAAAAAATGGCAAATACTCAAATTATAATTGCAGTAAATTGATTTTTTTCTGGCATATAAATGCATGACTGTAAAATAATCAATTTATAAATAAAAAAATAAGCATAATAGTTATAAGATTAATTTTTTTTAAAAAAAGAAGCGGGTGCACGACCTCCGTTTCAAGTCTATCATGTAGGCAGCAGAAACGTAACATAAGCGTTCACTCAAATTATTACTCATATGTATACTGAGTGGCAACAGATTAAAGCCACATGACTAATCAGCTGACGCTTTGATTATTTTTATTTCAGCGGTTGTTGTTGAAAAATAAAATATTTTTCAGACTCAGTTCCAGCAACTCTTCTTTATCGTTTGCATTATCTGTTCTATTTATACGATTTTTTTTAACAAAGCAACTAGTCTAAAAGTTCAAAACGTAGCGAGCAACAATATATTTAACATAGCTTTGTTGTACGATTCTTATTGATTTGGTTTTATCTTCAAATAAGTGAAAAGACAGTAAGAAAATATTTATTATTATTTTATTAATAATTCCAAATTATAATCATGTTATGCATTTGTTTAATTTTTTTTTCATATAATTCTTTGTAATCTGTAAGCAAGTGAAAGTTTGTTAAAGCTTGATAAAGTAAAACGTATTTACAATTACTACACCTACTTGTAGATTACTTCAATATTGGCTTTTTATATTTTAGCATTACAAATTCTAATGCAATTCTCTATATCATAATTTATTTAGGATCCAATAATAATGTTAGCCATTATTAAGCAGAACCACGTGATGAATCTTTAATGAGGTATGCTTGATATAAACTAGGACTTGCACAATCAGCATATGGGCATCACGTTTTTTTTTTCTTTCCTTTTTTTATTTTACTTAAGTTTTATTTTTTGTACAATTATATTTCCTTTGATATTTTTTTTTATAATCGTTCTTTGTGTGCCTTTTTATTAATTTTCATCAAGATAAGGAAATTTGGAGTTTAACTGACTTATTTTTTTAATAAATAATATATTTAATAATTATTATATTTAAAAATTATTAGAAAAAAAAGTACACACATTATATAAATAAAAAAATTAATTAAAAATTAGAAAATTAGCAATGATAAGGTATAATTTTGTCATCAGTGCAGGTGATTATACCTGGAAAAATAGTGCTTTCTAATATTGTACTAATGTGGTTATGGCAGGAAAACTGTTTATTAGATTAAATTTTGTTTTCAGTTATGTATTTTTTACTAAATGTATTGTAAAATAAATTATAATTTTGAAAACCAGAATTTTCATATGATTGTTTGTTTTTTTTAACCAAAATTATGAGTTTTTTTTTTTTGGACTGGAAATGTCATTACCTTTAGTAATTTTACATTATAGTAATTTTAACAGAAAATTTTCCAGTGTGCTTTTTCCTGGATAAGAAATTAAATTTCAAAGTCCAATTTCTAAAATTCTAATGACTGTATTTGTTAGCTAAACAAAAGAGAGTTTTTGTTAAAATATATTTTTTTCTTAATTGATTTGAATTTTCTTTAAAAATTTAATGGATTTATTTACAGAATAACAAAGCACTATTGTGATGTGCAAAGAAATGTATCTTAAATACATTTCGTAAAATCATTTATTAAGCACTCAATTGCTACTTCTAAATTATAAATGTCACGCATGTAGGTAAATTAGAAGATGACAAGTACTTATTGGCACATTTGCGCATGAAAATCAAAATATATGCCATTAATGGAGATAGAAATGCTTAAGTAATGGAAATATAAGGAGAGTCTATTAAGTTTTGTTCATTAAAATTCAAGACACAGACGTGAATAATTAAATCTCAGCTTTCTTTTGAACCCTCACTCAGTAAAAGAATAATAGTCACTACTTGAGGATGCAAGCATTTTTTAACCTAAAGGGGAATGTATAATTTTTTTAAAAAAGTAATATTTTAAATATGCGATTCAATCGCCTGATTCAATTGTCAAATGTTCTAATTTTTTTACTCACAGATTTTTTTAAATCTTATTTTTGCATGACCGACCTCCGCCAACTTTCAAAAGCTTTTAAAGTGTATTAGTTATCAGTTAATAGGTCAATGTTAGCTGATGTTTGACAGTGAGTCAAAGGGATAATGTTGCAGTGTTCTCCCTGAGCTATTTTAGAATTGCGACCAGGGCCAGATTCAGGGTTTAAGCTGAGTCTAAAAATTCATTAGCAAAAAAGCTAAAATCTGAAAAAAAGTTTTAGCAAAATGCTAAAATGCCATTAGGCTTATAAAATTACTTTATATCAAACAAGTACTGTAAGTTATCTGACAAAGAATAGCTTAATGTACAAGAATATCAAAAAGAATACCTAAAAAAAAAAAAAACACATTTATTATTTATCAAAACATTTTGGTTTATAATTAACAATCTTCCTTTCTTTCATGTTTGCCCATTTTACAAATGCTTCTTGAAAGTTAAATGCACTTTCAGGGCCCTAAATATTAATCATTAACAAATATATATATCATATATTCTAGCCATTTTTGTTGATCGCTATGCTTCATCTCGTTTGATCACGTTTTTTTCGTGAACGCTAGCGTCATGGTTCTTCTTGCGAAAGATATTTAGATTTTTTCTCCTTGTTTGATCAAGTTTTTTTCATGGATGTTAGCGTCATGGTTTTTCGCGGAAGCTTTTTTTTAATGGAATTTAGTAAAATCCTTTAGCAAAAATGCGAAAATGCTTTGTTGAATTTTAGCATTTTTGAGGGGTCTTTTCGCATTTTGCGAAAAAAAGCTACCGTAGCGGAAACCCTGACCAGATTACCCATTAGGCCAGACTGGGGCCCCCTTGAAATGGATTTTTGGAAAATAAATTAAGAAAAACAATGATTTTTTTTTAATTTTTTCGAAATGTTATGATTATTTTTTAGTTCTAATTTAATAAAATAAAGTAAAATTTAATTTATTTTAATTTTAAATGTGCTTTCTTAAATGAAAAGGTATATAAATACTTTTATGTTTGAATAAAAAAAAATATATGAGAAAAAAATTTAATTTAAGGCCCCCAAAAATTTGAATGGCCTAAGGCCTCGCGTATGCTTAATCCGCTCCCGATTGCGACCCACTCTGCTATTAATTTGCTGTCTGGTTTCTGGGCTTATACTGTAGTAGGCATTTGCATCAAAGTGAAGACAATGATGTGGTATGGGAAAAGGTTTATAATAGTAATTTGCAAGCTTTGATTTGTATCTCTGGAATATGTAAAACAAAAATTGGAAAAGAAATAATTTTTTAAAGTATAAGCTTTTTTTTATTACTGTGAAGTTTTAAACTAATAAAACTTTATTTTGCTTGCATTTTTCAGAATGAATGAAATGAATTTTTCAATTCTTGTTCTTTTTGCTACGTTGTGTGCTGCCACAGCTTATGTTACAGAGTTTGATGTCATTAAAGAAGAATGGAAAGCATTTAAGCTAATGTTTGGTGAGTTTTTTCCAGTTTTAAATTTTATTATGCATTTGATAATTTGTAAATTATTATTTTATGTACTCGATAATTAATAAATTGCTGGTTATGTGGAATTAGAGGACTATTATAAACTAGTCGACTATAAAACTACTCTGTTTAATAAGGACATTTGTTCCAGATCATTAGATAAAAGATTGTATTATAAAATATATAATATTTTTTTACTGCTGTAAACAAGCTTAAAAAAATTTTTTTTTCTTTGTCACAAGACCTATTTTGACGTTTTTCATTTAAAAATTTCTTTTTAAATTTATAATATAATTATATAAAGTGGTTAAATAAGTATATTTAATGAATGATAATACTAAATGTTCACAGTATCTTAGTGTGGCTAGTTTCTTGACAAATTAAGTCATATTTGATCTTATAGTTTTTCTAGTAGAAAAATGTCTCATATTTGCCAATCAGTCATTCTAAAAAATCAATTTTGAATGTCTTCATAACATTTCTTTAATTTAGTTTGTAAAAAAGAATTTTCCGCTTTGAAATATTTTATCCAAAGAGTAATATTGGGTTTGGATAAAGAGTAATGTTTTTGTATAGGAAATTGCAATTGAGAGTTAGGTATGGATGCTTAATATCCACCAAGGAAAAAAAAAAATAATTAAAGAAAATTAGCTACTTTTTTGCAAATCTATGGTATTCTTTTTTAAATTTTTTTTAACACAGTTGCAAGATTTTAAAAGTCGTGTTTTTTAAAAACAACAAGCAAATGTATTAAGTTGTACTTGATTGTTGTTCCTTTTAGTTTAATCGTAAAACTTAAATCTTATACCACAATTCTAAAATTTCAAATGTTTGTTGTGTTGAACAAAAGACTGTTCACAAATATTACAGTAGTGGTTGAGCTGAATTCTTTCTTACGCTTACTTACTATTTTTACAGATGCTAGAGAATCCAATCTTGTATGACTGATTTAAAAATTTTGTACTGTTTGTTTAATTATCAATTCAACAATAACAGAATTTTTGAAATGGTAAAACTTATAACTATAAATCATTTTGTGTAGCTAACCATTTTTCCAGGTAAACAGTTTTGGAATTTTGTGATGAACAGTTGTGAGTAGTCAAGGTGACTGTGGAAAATGGGACTAGTTCATGAAAACATTTACACATACATTAGTAAAATGTTTTTGCATAACCTTTTTGAGCAATCTATCTGTTTATTTTTTTAGGTTAAAATATCTTTGCATTTGAGACTATTAAAGTAACTCTCACACATCTGCTGCTCTTATTCGATATAGATTAACAATTATTATTACATCACTATTACATTATTATTAATATTGCTGTTGAATTGATTTTAAATTCCAAGCAATCTTAGATTTGTAGAAGTTCAAAATGCAATTGATAAAAATAAGCATGAATTGTACACATTTATTTTATTTGCAGCATGTTAAAAAAATGTTAGTAAATAAAATAATGTTTCCCAGATTTTAATATGATTTAAAATTATTTGTTTTAAGTTTAACAACATTTTATGTGTCTGTACTGTTGTGATTTACGTTTTTTTTCTTCTCATGTGTAGAAAAAACATATGAAGAAGCAGAAGATCTATTTAGGATGAAAGTATTTGTGGAAAACAAGCACAAGATTGCTAAACACAACCAGCTATTTTTATCTGGAAAGAAATCCTACCGGCTGCGAATGAATGGTTTTGGAGATTTGGTAACTTTTTTTCATCTTTGAATTAAATTTTTATTGATTTGATTTTCATAAGAATTTGATTATCATAGCATTTATAATATGTTCATATTCTAAACTAGCTACGAAGTTACTATAATTCTGGAAAAAAACAAAACATTATTAACTGTTTAATATCTGTTTTGGGTATTACCAAAAGATATTAAAAAAGGAGATAGCTTACCTCCACCAAAAGGCCGGGAACACTTCGTAATAATCCATAGACTTCTATAAATCATCTAAATAATTGCATTCAATATTAAATTTTATTCACAATTATATGGACACAAAATATTTACAGACACACACAACAAAAAAGAACATGCTTCGCAATCGTAGTTCTAAACAGTTCTCTCTCGAACCAGAGGGTCTGTGTGTGTGGGAAGAGTCGGATTAGCCTTGAGCACGTGATTATCATGCGCTCACTAGATGAAATTAATAAATGGATTAATAAATTTAATTGCAATTTCCAACAGTCTGTTTCCAAACAATCATGTTAATGTAATATCAATACTATAAATGTTATGAAAATTCTGAATATTGCCATAAGTTGAATTAAAAATAACTGTTAGGAAACAATCATCTTAGTAGTAAGCATATTTTAAGTTTGAACTTATAAGGTGTAATTTTATTTGTTTGTATGTTTAACTTTGATATACTTAAATAGTTTTGAATAAATAAAATGACAATTATTGGACATTTTTCTTTGTTAAACATATTTAAAGAAGGTTGGTGAGTATATAATTATAAAATACTCTCATAACAGTGTTGTTACTGCCTTGTTCCTTACATACTGCCTTGTTCCTCAAAGTTAATAGACTTTTTTTTTAAATTTTACTCTTATTTAAGAATAATTTCTAGACAAACTCTTTTTAAATGGTTTTGCTTAATTTTTCAAAATTCTGGTAGTACTACAAAGTTTTTTTTTTTTTTAAATATTTTTTTTAATTCATAAGAGATATAACTATAAAAAACAAATATTTATTATAATTTTTTATTTTCTAAGCTAAAAAGTAAGAATCATAACATTTTAAAAAATATATATAAAGTTGCAGTCATTTTTTTTTCCCAATACAGTACAGTTTACTGTATCTAAGGAAGAATTTAGGATACAATAAAATTAAGTTTTCATCATCTGTATTTTCTACAGCGTTAAAAAAATGTTCAAAAAGATTTTGTAATGAATCTACAGTGCTGGAAAATATTGCTACCATTAGGAGAACGGTTCCTTCTTCTGAGTCACTTCATTCAGTTGATTTTTCTTACACTTTTAGCACTTTTCACAACATTTTTGATGGAGAGTAAAATCTCTGATCATTGATTTCTCAATGATTATTTACCCACAGTCCTGTTTTCAAAAATGTGTATATTTTAAAATCTGAGAAAAAAAATATCATCGCTCATTAGTATGCACTCTAATTTATTACATCCTGCTGAACTAAAGACTCTATGTCCTCAAAAATTTCAGAATTTTGTTAAATCCAGAATCGTTACAATTGAATCTTACTGCATTGCAATTTTTATACATTTTTAATTACAATACAAGTACATATATTACATATAGTACATACATATATTAATTTTTTATATAGCTTCACCATGAATTTGTGAGAAAAGTCAATGGTTTTCAACGAAACTACAATGAAAGTTTAGCATCTGGCTCTACTTATCTTTCTCCTGCTAATGTTGTAGCACCAAAGCAAGTAAATTGGACTGCTGAAGGATATGTCACTCCTGTTAAGAATCAGGGTCAATGTGGTTCATGCTGGTCCTTCAGTGCTGTAAGTAATACCAATTTAAAAAATTCATACTGTTGTAAAGAAAATGTTCTAACAATTTATAATTGCCTGCTCTTTAACTAATATAGTATTAATTTCGGATCATTATTTTTAGTAAATAAGAACTAAAAAGCAATAAAGAGAAGACTAAAAGACCATATTTTAAGTACAGCCAAACCCCGCTATAGTGAACCTTCAAGGGACCAGAATTTCGGTTCACTATAACCGGAAGTTCACTATATCTGGTCTGCAAACAATTTTAACTAATGGTTCCGAACTCCTTCTTTTTGTTATACATTATTGAAATAAATGACCAATAAAATGAAATATAGAAATGACTGAAAAATAATACGTAGTTACAAAAAATGTGTAACTTGCTTTTATTTTTTATTACTGTTCGTCTTGTGTACGAAGATAATTAGCTTTAGCTGATGCAGGGAAAAATTTGTTAGTACATCAGCCTGGGTTGGCCTTTGTTTAGGTTGAGAACTGAGAAAAGTGGGATAAAAGAAGCAAACAAGAAAAAATGCTTATGGCTACATTCCACTCTATAACTGGTTTTAAAAATCAGTATAAGTATTTGTTTTAAAGTAGACATTTCAAAGTTATTTTTAAAAAATGAAGGGGAAAAAAATCAGTCAAAGACAGAAAAAAGTTCATAATATCCAATTTCCTCACTTTTTTAGTTCACTATAGCGGGGTTTGACTGTAGTAATTGTAAATTTTTTATACTATTCAATTAAAAGAAAAATATTCTGTGAGTATTAATTTATCTGGACCTTAGACTTGAACAATTTAACAAACATGATTATGTCAATTATGAGACTTAAATATATTTAATTTTTAAAAAATCTCATATAAATTTAAAAATAAGAAAGATTATATATTTTTAAAAAAAATTTTTTGATTTTTATCAAACCTGAAGAAGCACTGAGATTTTTCTGAACTAATTCTCCTACTTTAATCCTATGGCACACATTGTGAAATTTTAAGAAATAAGATATTTTTTCATTAAATACTCGTAAAAAAGTATGAATATTTTAAAATGAAATTTTAAATTACCTCTACTATTTTATGTTTACTTTTCAGACTGGTGCCCTTGAAGGTCAACATTTTCGTAAAACAGGAAAACTTGTTTCATTAAGTGAGCAAAATCTGATTGATTGCTCTGGCAAGTTTGGCAATGAGGGATGCAACGGTGGTCTCATGGATCAAGCGTTTGATTACATTAAAGAGAATAAAGGGATAGATACTGAAGAAGCTTACCCATACAAACACAAAGTAATTATGACTCTATTGTCAAATAATATTATTCTCCTTCTCCATGTATAAAAGGTTTCCGTGTTTTGTTTTTAAATAATTTGGATAATCCAAGAACTTTCACCCACAGAACATTTTTTAATGCTCTGTGAGTGAAATTTTTATGTTATTACATATTGTTTTACATTTTGACCCATTCCCTCTTTTAAAATGAAGATTTTTAGATTGTATTTGTACTATTATGTTGTATTTTAAAAAATTTTACAGATTGTTTAAATTTCTTTTCACTTAAAACAGAAAAAATTTTAAAAGAATTTTTTAGTAATTTTCCTATTTACTTTATGAATTTCAGAGGTTATAGTTTTAATCTTTTAATGGATTTCAGCTCTTTCAATAGAAATTGGAATGTAATTTAAAAAAAGTATTAAATAGTCAGTAAATAGTGACCTATAATTCAAACTGTGACAAATTCATTTTTCCTTGTTTTTCACAATGTGCATTATCTTCAGCTGTGCTGCATAAAACTAAAAAAAAGAAATTATAGTAACTAAAATAATTTGTTAGATGGGAGTTCACTTTCAGAATAGTATTTAAGAGAAAACTGTGCTTTATTATCTAATCATGAAAATTTTATAATGTAGTGAGATTGTTTGCCATTTTATTTTTTAAGCAATCATAAGTCTAGTATATTAATTAACATCTTCTAATTTTGACCAAATTATTATCTTTTAAGTATAAATATCTGTATTTTTTTATTTTTTATATCCTTTTAAAATTTAAGATATGTCTTCTTATTATAAAACATATGGTCTTGAGAATTTTTGCTATATTTACTCCTGATGTCATGTTAGCAAAGTTTAAAAATTTGTGTAAGATTCAAAGTAGCTAAAAAATAAAAATGAGACTAGTGATTTATGAGTTGATATATCAAAACCCTAAATTTTAAAATATTTTTTAAACCTATTTTTTTCTGTTTGAAAAGTTTTTTTATTACAAAAATTAAGTAATGAAAAGTAGTGCTTATTCAGGAACCTCTTTATGTTTCGATGTTTTCTCAAATTTTCAAAAAGTAAATCATGAATTGAAAGCAAAATTATCCCTACTAAGTAATTTTGCTGTTTTTTATTTTTGGTCACTTTACTATTTTGACTAAATTTTTTTCTTCTTCGAATCAACATCTTTTTAAAAGGCTTATAATGAACCAAAGCCATTCCTGCTTTCATTTTCATTTATAAAATTAGAGTGAATTTTTCTTTGATTTAATATTCTATAGCTTAATCTTTTTTTGCAGCAAGGTAGATGCCACTACAAGAAGCAAAACAAGGGAGCTACAGACACAGGATTTGTGGATCTTCCCTCTGGAGATGAGACTAAACTGATGGAAGCTGTAGCAACAATTGGTCCTATTTCTGTGGCAATTGATGCCAGTCAGGAATCATTCCAGTTTTACTCTGAAGGTAAGAAGCATTCATTAATGTTGATTATTTTATCGATATACTCATTTTTTTAAAAATTATCTTTAAAAGTGAAAGTATCTAAGAAAATTGTGGGGAGAGTACATATCAACAATGTCAACCTTCATCAATGAAACGGTACCCCAACAACATAGAATCGAGTTAACATGTCTTATATAATAGTTAATTGGAATTGTATTTTTGTCGTAGTAAACACACTACAGTACTCCCCCAGCAGAATTAAAGCTGTGCTAGAATTCGGCGAATGGATACCAGTTGTTGATTCATTGCTGTTTTGTGAAAAGTGGGGAGAGCTGCATTAAGATCACAGTGGTACTTTTGACAGCTGTATTAAGTTCAGGATCCTGGTCACTCCTGTGTTGCCTTTAGCGGTAGAGAGTTTACAGTTGTGTGATGACTTGAGTAATAACAGTGCAAAGAGGTGAGGTGGATATAGTCGCTGTCACAAGTAGCAAGTTAACTGTTCAATGTGGACCATTCGTCAAAGTAGGGATGTTCAGATCGCAGTGGGAGTTTATGTCTTGGTTGGAATATTAGCATCACGTCTGAAGGTTACCGATGTAGAGTCAGATATTGACAATGTCAACCTTCATCTGTGAAAATGTACTCCAAGGAAGAATCGAGTTAGCAAGTCTTATATACTAGTGAATTGGAATTGTATTTTTGTAGTGGTAGACACACTAAAAAAATTATTTTAATTTTAATACAATTAAACTCCAAGCCATCGTTTTCTCATCTTTCATTTTCCTGCGTGTATCTTCCTGTTTTAACATGTCTGTCACAAATACTATTTTTATAATGTTATTAACACCCGTTTAGAAACTTGCAGATTCTAGCATCTATTGTTCAGAAATTCTACCAACATTTAAAAGAAAATTAAAGTTATTTCATTTTAAGATGAAAAAATATAACTCCTAATGCTAATGATGAAGAAGAGAGTATAGAGTTTGTTACATTTCAGAGAAAGCACCTCAAACATTGTGTTTGTTCTCTATGAATCAGTTGATTGGAATGTTGAAACTTGCGTTTGTGTCAGTTCAAGGAATTGTTGCATAAGCTAAATAATTGCAAAGTGACACTGGTAAAGATAGGGAAACAGGACCTCAACCAGTACTCTGATTTGCGAAAGTCTCAAAGCCTTTGAAACTATTATAAATTTTCTGTGTTCTTACAAATTAACTGAAAATGAACAGCTACCTGTTGCAAATGTTGAAAATTTATTATTTATGCTGGAAAAAAAATTTCAAACTAAATTTTCCAAATATTTTAATCCTTAAGTATTTTAAGTTCACTTACAACAGGTACAATTATAATATTAATTATGCATATAATTATTTTTAATTTAATTTGTTGTAAGTATTACAGTTATTAGAATGATAAAAATAATGAAGGATTCGATGATTTGACTTGATTATACTCTGCAGTTGACAGAGTTAGTCCTGTACTGCTTACATGGCGACATAGGTCCATTAAGAGTCATTGGAATAAATATGTTAATAAATTTTTTGTAAATAGTTTATAGTAAGTAACTTTTTACAATTAAAATATTTTATACTTATCATAAATTATGAATTTCAAGTCATTATCTCATATTTGTTGAAAATTTGTACTTGAATTAAGTTAAACTATTTTTTATGTTTTATTATGTAATTTAGAGTACATTTTGATCAAAATTAACTGTTTCAGGATAAGCATTAATTATATTACAAAAATTTGAAGGTAGGCGAAATGTAAAACCTGTTTTGTTAGTCTTTAAAAATAAGAAGCATTTGTGTAGCAATGAACTTGCCTAATTTTTTCAGGGTACTCCCATTTTTATTGCTAAAATGGTGGGTTTAATATTAAAATTTTTTATGCTTTGCTAATCTTAAATATTTGTTGCTCGTGTCAGCATTGAAAGTTAAATAATAGAGGAAGGTATGAATAAAATTAACTTCTTTCCCTCCTGATTTTTATCCTCTGAAAATATTCCTATTTTATTTTTTTAATTTTTCATTCTTTGGTGAAAATTTTTTATTAATTTGAAATGTTTATCTGTTATAATTATTAGCATTAATCATTTTTAAATTTAAATTCTATGCACAATCAAAGATTAGACATGGTTAAAACAAAGAAAAATTCAATTTTAGAAAATGGCAATATAATTTATTTTAATTCAAGTCATGCTTTCTTTTGATACATTAAAAAAAAAAGAAGTTAAAATTAGTAAGTGTCCAAATTTTTTACTCATGTCAGTTTTAACTCCCAGAAAAAATCTAAGAATCATCACTTGTTAGTAATTGTATAAACATTATTATGCCTATCTTAATTTTATTGCATGCAATGTTTTTGTTTGAAATTCAATTAATTTTCTTGTGGGCATAACTTTAATTTTTTTTATTGAGTTTAAATGAGATAGTGACATTTTTTAGGAACATATTTATATCCTATTGATAATTAAATTTTATTTTTAACAGGTGTCTACAATGAGCCACAGTGTAGTAGTGAACAATTGGATCATGGTGTTTTGTGTACTGGATATAGTGTGTCTGAATCTGGTGAAGATTACTGGATTGTAAAGAATAGGTATATAATTATTGTTAAGAAAATATTATAGTTCAAAATATAGAGAAAAGTAATATAATAAAAGGAAATTATCTCTGTCTATAATATTTTAAATATTTTACAATTGTGGTCATGAAATTTGTATTGTGTAAAAAAATCTGCTGATCTATGCCCCATGCTTTCCATGTTTGCAGCTATGTTTATATAATTTTTTTTCCCATTTAAGCTATATTTCATTGATATAGTATGATAAACGCAAATTCTATTTCCCTTTGGAAGAATTTAAAAATTAATGCTTTCTTTTAAAAAAGGTACAGGTCTCCTGAAATTTTTGAAATTATCACAAATGAAAAAAATGAGAAAAAATTTATGTATTAGAATAATACTTTACTGGGCTCATGATTAGTATTTAAAGAATTGAATAGTTGATAGAATTGTTTTATTATTATTTTACTAATTTTTAAGGGTTTTTTTTTAAGAAGGGATATTTTATATGACGAAATTAATTTTCAAGAAAACTTAAGAATCTAAGTATGTAAAAAAATCTTAGTATAATAAAATCTAAGTATATTTTTATTATTTGCATAACTCTAAATTATGAAATATTATACATTCAAAAATATGTTTTAAATGACACTTAATCATTTTAAAAATATTTGATCTTTACACGTCGATATCCACGGCAACGAGTTGGCTGACACTCTTGCAAAGAAGGGACTAGACCATCCAGCATCAAAGAAATGGAAAAGAAGAATGTTCTCAGAATTCAGCAAATTTTCTTTTTAGGTAATATAAAATTTATTTATATTACTTGCATCATTAAATCTATGATATNTTTTAAGGTTTTTTTTTTTAAAGAAGGGATATTTTATATGAAGAAATTAATTTTCAAGAAAACTTAAGAATCTAAGTATGTAAAAAAATCTTAGTATAATAAAATCTAAGTATATTTTTATTATTTGCATAACTTTAAATTATGAAATATTATACATTCAAAAAAATGTTTTAAATGACACTTAATCATTTGAAATATTTTACTATTTAGTTGTTGATAGGTTGATGTACAATTAGTAAATGTGTGAGCTCTGTTGTTTTTATTTTAAAATGTTAACCATGGAAAAGTGTTGCATTATTCTTGCTAAAGGATTAGTGACTCAGTTATAATTATTTTAAGCATGTATTCTTTCTTTCTCATTTTATTAGAGTCTCTAATTTTAACATATCTATATAAATACAATTAACGTATATTTAATTTATATAATAAAATAAATATTTTATTTCCTATGACATTAAAATTAATTAATCTTGTTAGATTAATTGATTAAGATCTTGTTGGAATAAGAGAGTGTATATTTAAAGAAACTTTAATTGGTAGACTAATTTGAATTATTGTAGAAAGTTTGTTTTTTGCTTTTGCATAATTTTGGGGTGGCTTGTTTGTCTTCTCATAGCTGCTAACTTTACAGGATTTTGCCTTGGTTAAATTAAAAATTCTCCTGGTTCTTACATGGAGGAAATTTCCAGCTCTAAAAAAATTCCATAACAATACAGTTTTTTTTCACTGTTTTTCGTTTGTTTATCTATTTAAATTAGTATAACTTTTAAATAATGAAGTCAGTCAAACTTATAATGAATAATTTTCAGTTTTTTGTTTTTCATTTAAATGCTCAAAAATTTGTACTTTTTTTTATTTATTCAGAACTTTTTATTTAAAAAAAAAAAAATTGACTATCTAAAATGAATTTAATATCTATTTATTATTACTCAAAATTATAAACTAAACAATATTATAAAGCCTGTCACAAATAGGAAATATTGAAGCCACTTTAATTCTTATACACTAGCAGCTATGCCATATTTTACTGTTTCTTTTATTTAATTTTATTAATTACTCCTTTTCTTTTCAGTTGGGGTGAAAAATGGGGAGAGAGCGGATATATCAAAATGGCCAGGAACAAAAACAATCAATGTGGAATAGCAACTCAAGCTAGCTATCCATTAGTATAAGACGTTACGTCTGAGATTATTTTAACATGAGCTGTTTTGTACTTTTTATTTTTTAATTTACTAAGAAAAATACTTAGTTTATTCTTAAGGTTGTTTTTAATTTTTGCATTTAATGTATGCTCATTTTTACTTTTTATTTTTTTTAAAGAAACATTTTTGTACCTGTGTTCTTTCATTTGTCGATGTGAATCTCATCTTACAATTTAAGCTGTTTGATTTAATAAAAAATCATTTTCTTACCTGATGGTTTTATTTTATACTGTTGTTATAACATTTGTTTTACTCTCTTAGCAACTGAAGAAAAAATGATGTTTATCAATTGAGTTAACAGAAACCTGGGGTTCTTTTTAAAAAAAAAAAAAAAAAAAAAAAAAAAAAACATTATGATTCATGATAGCTCTACATTTAATCCAATCACATGGCTTGGAAATTCTGAAACATTTTATTATATTAATAATAAGTAATAAATTTAAATATTATTAAACTATATGGTATACAAATTGTTTAATTTGCACCTTTTAAGAAGTAGGATGACTAAAGGTGTTATACTAAACTCATCGCAACATATTAAATGTTAAAATTGTGATTAAAAGTACTAAAATGTGAAATAGTTTCAATTGTTAGAGCTTTTCATGGTCTTGTATTCTCTTTCAGTTAGCAATAATACTCAAGCAATTGCAGTGGTGCTTTCGATAAAGTCTGTGGACGATATGCTAAAATATTATGTGCAGCAAAAAGTTATCACTAATGATGCAATCCCATTTCTAAGAGCCAACCTTGTGTTTGGCGCAGCAAGTCCTTTTTGCATCTTATGCCATTAAACCATTCTTTCAATTTTTAAGAGTGCTCAAACAATTTTTTTTATACATCTAAATATGAAGTTTTCTAGGATAGCCCTAAATTAGAAAATTGAATTGGGCATAACAAATACTCAAGGTCCACAATATACAGAATGTTTTAAAAAAATCTAGCTTCAAAGTAAGAATTCTGCATTTGGTTAATTGGTTAAATTACACTATTTCTAATGGTAAAATTATTGTTTGAATTAAACTATATATTAGGTTTTAAATCACAGTTGAATGTAAACAGTGAGTAACCTCTCCCCACCTAAATAGGATATTCGCAGATGTTCCACAGCAAAGAAAAACCTGTTGCACGAGAACCCTAGCAAATTCAAATATGGGCTCATCGGCACATAGCTCTGAGTCACAGACTAGCATCACAAATTAAGTTGAAGAAAAAGACGAGGGCATGGTCTGCAGACAATTTGGTCAACTACAGCAGAGCACCAACTACATTGCAACCCAAGAGCAAATTTAATTGAACACCACAAATAAAATTTGTAAATTAGTTTGCTGAAGTCTTTGGTCAATCTCAACATTAAAAATTGTTAATTCAGAATGTGGTAAAATAATGTAGAATTCTATTTTTGAACTTGGTTAGTATATTTAGCAACAAAAACACAAAGTCAGCACATTGAAAGTCACTTTAAAGTAATCATAATTGTCATATCAGCCTAGTGTTAAATGAATAGTATTTTTCGTATTTAGCAGTTTTCAAATAAGCATCAAAGTAAGTGTTGGGTGAAATTCTTTCTGTATAAGAATAATATTTAGTTTTAATGCAGTTTTAACTAATAAGTATAGGTTTTTGCATATTTAATCATTAAATACTAATTGTAATTTTATTAATTATACTATTAATTTAATATTTCAATGTTTTATTTTTTTTGTTCTGATTTTGTAAAACATTCTGATATCAAATGTAATATGTACATTAGCTCTATTAAGAACAGCAGGCACTATATGATATCAAAAAGAAATTATAGGAAGGCCAAAATGCCTAATAGATATGTTCCTGTCACCACTATAGTTGGAAAAGAATTGAATAAAATAAGAACAAATTCATTATCAATTGACACTGTCAAGTGACGACTACATAGTGTTTGTTTAAATGGCCACGTAGCTTGCCGAAAAACTCTGCAGTGGCATGAAAGTAAATAGAAACGTCTTTAGCGGGCAAAAATACATAAATCTTTGATGGAGGATTAGTTTTTTGAACTGACTATTCAAAATTCGAATTGTTCGGAAAAAGACGTCAATATGCCAGACGTTTGGCTGCTGAAGGTGTAATGATAATTGTTTAAGTTATTCAGTAAAACAATATGGAGTTAACTTGGTGGAAAAGTTGGTATATTATTATAGTATAAAAAAATTGACGGAACAGTCAAGTTCACAATGGATAAGTTTATCTTTATTATAGTATATTAGTGCATCATGATTTTATCCTTAGGTATCATTAATATTGGCAAATGGTTTGTCTTTCAGCAAGATAATAACCCAAGCACACTTCATAGATTTATGCCAATTATTTAAAAATGAAAGAACAGCACAAAATCAGCCGATCTGAAACCTGTAGAAAAACTAAGAAATGAATTGGAAGGAAGAGTCTGCATAATGGCCCCAACGCAATGTAAGAAGATTCTAGGAATGGCTGGATGATGTCCGGAGAATTTTCAGCCACAAAACTTAAAAAAATTAAGTCTCGAATACCAAGTCTGTGTACGGCAATCAATCGTTCTAAAAGAGGTCATGTAAAGTAAAATTTAAAGAAAAATAGACTAATATTTTATCAATAGTTGTAATGGCAATTTCTAATTATGTTGTCAATAAATTTATTCAGAGGTATATGCAAATTTTGTTTTTTATTGGTTATTGCAATTACATAAATTTCCAGGCTTGTGTGCTCAAAATAGGCTTATAAACCTTCGTCAAGTAGAAAAGGACAGATAGCACAATAGGAGAGACAGCACCAAGTAGTACCGCCTCCTTTTTATTGATAATACACAAGTTGACTAAAAACTTTTGAATGCCAGTCTATATCACGAATATAATATATAAATTACTATGTTATCGAAAATAATATGTGAACCATGAATCTAATCAAAAATGGCTAAGTAACCGGCTTACCCTTACGAAATGTTTGCACAAGCCTCGAGCTAATTTTAGCTTTTAAATTTCGGCGTAATAATAAACTATTGCTGCAGAAATTTGAGAAGCATTTTGATGGCTGTGTCATATTTAATTAAAAAGAATTTATAATGAAATTTGGAAAACGATTTTGCAAATATGCTATTTAAGTCGTTTGCTTGAATACAAATTTCTTTTTTCTTTATTAAAATAATTAAAAAATCCGATGTATCAGAATAGCCCGCAGAAAACCGAACTAAGCAATCATACAATTCTAAGAATCTTTTTCTTTTCATAGAAGTTCTTGAGGATACATAATAATTAAGGGATGGAGTTCAAGTTTTTAATAACGATAATGAAGCATTAAAACAATCAAACATTTACAACGGATTTCTTATTTAGAATGTTCCTTAGAAACATTAAAATCGAATAAATTATTGGATCATTATGCACATGTGAACCGTTTTCACGCCCCTTTTTTCTTAATCACTCGAAAACGAGTTCCACGCTGTCAATTTACCACTATGTAATAAGAGCGGGGGAAAAAATTCTATTAAATACATATCTTTCAGAACAGAGCAACATCCTGAAAATTCATTTTAGAAAGGGGTAATTGCTTGCAGGTGTTGTGTTAATTTTCCCCGTCAGGAAAGATCTTTTCTGAGAAGTAATTTATTTTTAAAGAATGCTAGATTTACATCTCCGTCAGGTGCAATGGTAGCACGATTTGATGAAGGAAAACCCTGAGTGAAGTATGACGTCATCAGAATAAGTTAAGAAAAAATCATGAATTTAACATTCATATATAATATAAAAGTTAAATTCATATTATCTTTATTTTATTTTAGACTATTTTAAATGACAACTATTATGTGGATTAATAAAAAAAAGGGAAACAGTGAAATTTCTATTTAAAACGCTCTTCACAAAATGAAGCAAGTCGCATGGTGTTACGTTAGGCTAACAACTTATATAGTTTCACAATATCATTCGGAATATTTTTACACCTAAATATTTATTCTCAAACTTAAGTTATTTGTTTATCATTGTTGCGGCTTTTACAGTGCAGAAAAAATAAATTAAAAGAAAAAAAAGAGCATCTGGAATAACTTTTGATCGAATTTTCACATATTGAGACTCAACCATAAAGGTTCGAGGGCCTAACCTTAAATACGCTAATTAAGTAGTACAGACGATATTTAAAGTTACGAAATTAGATACAAAAACGCACTTAGAAACATAAACGAATAAGCATATGTTTATTGCCCTCAAAAATATGTTACCCCCTCCCTTAAAATATGACTTTATTTCCTTATTACGCTAATTTAAATTTTTGCATATTTCACAATGTCTCGAGAACTTTTTAAGCCAATCAAAGAAAAATTTGCACACGATTATAGTATTCGAATAATCCATGCAGAAAATAATTTTTAACTATTATTTATTATTTTATTTAATAATAGTCAAATAAATTTTGAATTGTAAGGCATACAAATTTAATTATTCTGAAGAATATAGTTCTAAATGGTAAAATACAAAATTTGAGCGTAATCGGTCAAAAAATAGTTTCTGGATTATCAAATTTTAAGAGAAACGTAAAAATTTCCTTTAATGGCGTTCCGTTTCCACCCCCACTTAAAATAGTCTGTTGAAGAAAAAAGAAAAACTAATTATTTTTATGAATTTCAAACAGTTGGTCGGAGCCGCGATGGCTCAGGGGATAGAGCGGGCGCCTTTCAATGAGGTGAGCCGGGTTCAAATCCGCATCCGGCTTGCACCGACCACAGTGCTGGTGTGAAATATCTTCAGTGGTAGACGGATCATAGGTTAGAGTCCCTTCGCCGTGAGGCTAACCGTGGGAATTTCTCGTGGTCTTCCTCTCCATGTAACGCAAATGCGGGTAAGCTCCATCGAAAAGTACTCCACGAAGGCAAATTTCTCCCCATACTCGATCCACGAGTTCCCTTGTCTTCTGAATTGGGTTCAAAATTACAAGGCTACGGAGTTGAGCTATAAAATTGGGTCTGCTGTTCAACGACAAAAAAAAAAAAAAAAACAGATGGTCGAATTTTCATTTTCTAAACTGCTTTGACAAATCCTTGAAATAATCTCTTAAAACATGTTATCCGTGGCTGAATATTTTGATGAAAAAACGCACTTTTTTTGTAGAAACATACCTTTTTTCTTATTTCCGAAATTGAGGAGGGGGTGTAGTAGAAGTTTTTTAAAGCTGGTTTTTATAGGTTAACCGCTATAAGGGTTCAAAAATT